TTTTTGGTTCAAAATCATGCACGTATCTGTCCCCAAAGCATTCCAACATTCCTAAACCAAGGCTAGCTGCCACAGAAAAGTCATGTTAACAGCTTGTCCTTGTTTCCACAAAGTCCCACTCTTTTAGCTCTCCCTCATTCCCTTTCCAGAGTGCCTGACTCCATGTGAGGCACTTCAGAGAACAGCCTTACCGATACTAGATTTGACGAATTGTCATCAAAAAGTTGAAGCTCATCAAAGGAATGAGAAAGGGCATAGGAATCATGTGTATAAACCAGGTAGAGCCGAGAATCTTTGGGGGAGCTACAAGAAGAAAAACAAAAGGAGGTAAAAGTTATTTTTTTTAAATCTGGCAGATGGCTTCAATACTGGGATATCTTGCTGGGTCCATATATAGTAAAGTTTTTCTGAAACTATTCTGCTTCTAACTGCAGCTGGGGATCTCTATATTTTAACTACTCCTTGCTACACAAAGATAACTAGCACATTAGAGAAAGTGTTCTTGCTTTACTCTCTCCCTTAACTACTATAGAGGAAAGTTCATTTATTTTACATGCAGGAGCAAACAGTTTATATAGTTAGAATATTTAGAAACTATATTTCTTATAAAATGAACCCATAAGATGTGTAGCATGCTATCTTCTTTACTAGTCTGGAGAGAGATACATAGAATGGTCTCTACAATCTGAGTTTGATGAATTTAAGACTGGCTCTTATTCAGTTGAGAAGAAAGCATTTAATTCATTTAAACAAGATAGGGGGGAAAACCGCCTCAAGGCCACCAAGCATGGCATTTTAACAGTAGCCTATCAGATGACAAGAAATCAAAAGCAAATCAGGCTAACTAGACTTCTCTTGCTGTTAGTGCTCAGAAACTAATATTTGGGCCTTACTTGGAACTTAGCCAGCACTTTGCTCTAAACATCAAAATAGATAAAGGATAATGTTGACCTTGACTTCCAGTAACTCCATGGACAAATTCAAACTGTTTCCTTGGCAACAACGTGAAAGTGGTTTGCTACTGCTTTCTTCCCTTTTTCTCCCTACTTCCTAACTTAATCTACAGCCCTGTGATATCCTGGTATCTAACAACAGCATTCAAAATATGATATCAGAAAACATTCCACCATGCCAGGCAACAACTTCAGACCAGATGGAAAATATGTGCTAATTCTTTAATATAAACAGAGGCTCAGGTAACTCACGTGGCTAAAATAACATATTTGCAAAGAGCTTTGAGAAGGGCCTTCGTGCCTCCACGGTGGAAATGCAGAGCTTGAATGGAAATGCCTTCTTTGGTGATGAAGATGAGATATGACCAACCGAGGCCTGGTTTACTCTTACGGATGGATTTCAGCTCAGACAAGCTAAGAGAGAAGGCCCACTGACCACGAGGGACTGGAGATTTTGGCCCAGAAACTGGTAGGGAAAAACCACACAGGAAGAGCATAGAAATAGAAGACAGAGGGGAAAAAAATCCCACAATTTCTAGCTACCATCTTTTTATCATCCCCATCTTCCATTCCTCATTGCAGCTTCGTCAGTAAGCCTAGATGCCCAAAACTGAAATTCACAAAAGGAAGCTAGTGCTTCTCTCTTTCAATTTACCAGCTGTTTCCTCTGGGACCCGAGACTTGGTCCCCACTGTACTGATCACAGCCCAGTCTGGTTCATATCCTGGATCAAAACTTTCTTCTTCGGGTGGGGAGCCAATGGTATCCTGGTAAAGAGAAAGCAAGATTAGGGGGCATTTCTATATTTTTAAATATGTCCTCATAGCATCTTCAGTGCAATATTCCTTTAGGTCCTGTTCTCACCAAAAGACATTTGAGAAAGGAAGAACAAGTACACGCTTCTCTTTTAGATACTGTTCAAAAGCTTAACTGATTTGAAATTGCTCTACTAAAGCAGAGGATCTAATTCCTAGGAATCAGAATAAAGGAACTGTAGGAGGAGAGCTGTGTTAGTCTATGGTGGCAAAAGGTCAGGAGGAGTCTGGTAGCACCTTTTCCAACGAACAAATTTTATTAAATTCCCATGCAGCTCATAAAAGCTTATACCTTTTAATCAAATTTGTTAGTCAGAAAAGGTACTACCAGACTCTTTCAGAATAAAGGAAGACAATGAGATATAATTCCAGCATTTCATTCAACATAATCTTTATTGTGAGGGGGAAAAAAAGGAGTGCATTTTGTCCATAAAGAATGTGGAAATAATAGAAAAAATCTTCCCCCACCCTGAAGAAGCCACATAGGGCTACCAAGTGCTGTCATACCATTTGATCAACCTTTTCTAGGCTCAGCTTTCTCCTGGTTATGATACCACAGGATACATTTTCTGTTTAGCCATCTCCCACAATATCTCTGTTCAGTGACTAGAAGAAGAGCTACTCTCTGTCTGCAGAGTAGAAGAGAATAACTGAGTATCTAGCCTAACTTCCCTGATTATCAACATTATGTTGAAAAAGCACAAAATATACTCTTGGCTATGAAGAGCATTTGGGTCATAAAAATATTAAAAACACACCCCTGAATAAATGTTTCAGGTCTATCCAAACCTCCTGTACCCTGAGTAAGACACCACAAACCATACAACAATTCTAGAAGAATTTAAGGCACATATAGTTGACACCCTAGCATTGTTCTATATTCCTGTAACAATTTTCCTCAAGAGACTCAAGTTTTTTTTTTAAAGAAAACCCATAACTGTTAGACTGAAAGGACAAACAACATATTAATCTGCAAAGAACAAACAACCTATACAGTGCTTTATAAAACAAGAAAGACTCACTAATCTAAAGAAATGTATTGAAAATTTAGTTTAATATATATAGGTAAAGGATTAAATCAGCAGAAAGCCTTACCTTTTTAGTGTACATGATTTGAGCAGTATCTGAAGATTCCTCCACAGGTGTCCATTGTAGTAAAGTATCTGAACCCTGAATAAAATGAAAAAAAAATTATCATAAAATATCCCAATAAGACCCCACATTCCAAAACTTGAATTTTAAATTTTGAAATGTAAGTGATCAAAGCAGTGTTGAATTTCACACATATTTCCTCCTTGAAAAGCAACTGATGTGTAAATATTAAAATGCTGCTCATGCCCCACTTTGTTTTCTAAGATATCACAACCTACCTAATGCTTTTTGATGCACATTTCTTAAATCATAAATAGCTGGAAACGTAAAATTTATTACGAAACAATTAAATCTTTTATGTGCAACATAAACTACTACTTCTGCACATGCACAAATAAAGCATACAGGTAGTCCTCATTTAGCAACTGCCTCATTTAGCAACTGTTCAGTTACGACAGTGATGAAAAAGTAAGTTGGAGACGAGTCCTCGCATTTACAACTTTCACAGGCCTGTAAAGCAAGGGAAAGCTGAACTAAGATCGTAAAATTGTGATGTTTCACTTAGCGACCACTTAATGACTGAGTTGCTGGTCCCAATTGTGGTCACTAAAGAAGGATTACCTGTAATATGAACAAACTATATGAACCCTCAAATACGATGCTCCCACTATTCTAACCAGTTTTGTTCAAGTGAATCATAACTACCTTTAACCACAATCTCACAATTAGACAATATGACAAAGCTACAAAAACTTCAGATTCTTCCTCGAGGCTCAAAGAAGGGAAAGAGAAAAGTCTTGAGCCTGCTTTGGCCCATTCACTTACTGGTAAACAAGGCTGAACATGATGCCCCAATATAACCACTTTTCTCACCATGAGCACATAGCCTCCTGCTTCAGTTTCCAATCCAACCAGCAACCTATCTCAACCCACCTTCTCAATGATGCGGATAACTCCAGGTATGAGGGAATCCTGGTCAGGATGACGTTTTGCACTGGTGTGTAAATAGACCCCATCTTTCTCAAATGCGATCTGCAAAAGGACAGAAGAAAAGGAATGGCTCGGGCAGGAAAACCACCAGAATCCCTCTTCTCCAGTTCTGCCCCAACCTGCAGCTCAGGAAATCCAAGCTCCTTTAATGCTCTATTGCCAAAGCCCCAGAACAACTCCAAAGCTCCCCCCCCTTACAAAACCACAACGGTGATTAACGAATCCCTACATACTACTGGGCGGAATCTCACTACACCTAGGAGCTGGTTAGATATCACGTCTCCCTGTAGCTTCCTAGGCGGAAGAAGGCAAGTTTTCCCATTTGAACAACCCACTGTTTCCATACGGAATGACACAGCCGGCCCTCGACTCCCGGGGAATCCTTTTCAGCTTCTGCTGGGGGGAAAAAACCAATCCTCTTTTCCCTTGACAGCCCATTTCTGCTTCACGGAGCCTAACGAGCACCATTCTGCAGGACTTAAAGGCCTCTCTCACCCTGCAGCCCCCTAACTCCATTCTGCCTGACAGCTACTTCCTGAAAAACAAGGACGTCATTTCCTGCTCCGTTTGAGCCTCCCTCTTCATAGAGTAGGGTTGTTTTTTTTCTGAAGCCGCCATCATTGTTTCTGGCGCGAAGAAGCTCAAGCTGGAACTGTCTGGAAGCGCAGGTGAAGCTTCTGACGCCATCTTTGAAAAGGTCAGAACGGCTGGCTCTTTAAACATGACTTTATCGCTAAGTTTTCTGTCAGAATGCAAGTTATACTAAATAATTATGCACCGGTTAAGGACCGTTCATACATTCGAAGACCTTAATAACGCATGAAATAGAAAATATATTTATGATTTAAATAGGGAGGGTAGCACGTGGAAACATCTGGCTGACTTTGGCCTCGGAAGCTAAGCTGGAGTCCGTCCAGGTGTGATTGGGAACCCTTTAAGCAGTATCAGAACTTGATATCGAAAAAAATCCCAGAAGAAAGTAATGGCAATGCGTTATTGCCAAGAAAGTTATGTGGCTCTATCCATGACATTATTATATGAAGCTGATCCAGAATTTATCTTTGTTGCAATTTCTACAAGATGCACTCGAAGGGAGGGAATTTATTGAGTGAAACAATATATAAAATTAATTTTGCAGCAGAGAGAAAGTGAATCCTTCTCCCACCTTTATAGATAGGGGTAAACAGCTTTCTATCAAGCAGCAAATAACTTGCAAACTTTGGAGCAGAGTTTCCAACTTGGGGCGCTTCCTGAAAGGGTAGACTTAACTCCCACAATTCTTAGCAAAGTGGCCGGGCTGGCTGGGGCGTCCTAGGAGCTGAGGTCCCCATATCTGGAAGTTGCCAGGTTGTGAAACTCTGCTTGGAATTCTCATATTCTAGAAACAGAAGCGTTTGATGCTGATGATGATTCAATATCTCTCTCCCTGCTACATTCCCCTCAGTATGCAGAATAATAATAATAATTTATTAAACTTCTATGCCACCCAACTCTCAGTGACTACGGGCGGCTCACAACAATCTAACAAAGAAATGAGAATAATATCAATAAAACTTAAAAAATAAACGATGGCTAGTGTGATGAAGCTAGGCGTCTCACTCGCCCTCGCCAAAGGCAAGAAGGAGAAATGTAGGACTCCCAGGTCTGACCAGGAGATGGCAGCAAATAGCTTAGAGCGAGAGGCCCTACGCTAGATAAATAAATAAACTTGAAGATGTGTAGACTTCAGCTTGCAGAATCTCCATGCTGGCTGGGGAATTCTGGGAGTTGAAGTCCACACATCTACAAGCCGCCAAAGTTGATGTACGCTGGCTTAGAGGCTTCTGTCTCTCTTTGCTTGCTGCCTGCTGGTGCTTAGAATAACTGCAGCTCAGCAACATTGTCCCTTAGCAAGGTGCAGCGCTATCCTCACCCTGCCTGTAGCAATCTGCCGATGTTTAAATCTCCACAGTAGCGGCTGAGTGATGTTCTGCATCGGTGTTCCTCAACCTTGGGAAGTTTAAGAGGTGTGGACTTCAACTCCCAGAATTCCCCAGCCAGCATGGAGATTCTGCAAGCTGAAGTCTACACATCTTCAAGTTTATTTATTTATCTAGCGTAGGGCCTCTCGCTCTAAGCTATTTTCTGCCATCTCCTGGTCAGACCTGGGAGTCCTACATTTCTCCTTCTTGCCTTTGGCGAGGGCGAGTGAGACGCCTAG